CCCGGCGCCACGCCGGGGGGCGGGGGTGCGTGTGGGGCGTCCGGGGGGGGTTTGCTCCCCTGAGTGAGGCTCTGTCCGAACGTCCGCAAGGTTCGGAGACGTGGTTAGAAACGTTGGAGCTGGAGCAGGGGTTGCTGGGGGCACGGGACGGGCGAGGGTATTTGTACATTTTCAGCCTCGTTTCCCTTTCTGCACGCCGGCCCTTGTTCTGCTGTCAGTCACCGGCTTTAAAGTTTTGCCCTGAAAATCAAATGTACAAATGGCATTGCTGGAAATTTGTGTACCACGCGGTGCAGCTGCTTCCTAGACGCAATTACAGATGCATTTTTCCTGAAAAACTAGTTTTCCTAATTGTCAGAGAATCAGCTTGGAGATGAAGGCGCAGCATTCCTACTAGGAATTGCCAGCAACAGGACAGACTCCATCTCAGACTCCACAAACCAACCAGCCTTGCGGTATTAACATGAACAAAAAGTCTGAAAGCAGTTCTCTGAGAGCAATCCTCACCCTGTGTCTTCGAGTTTTACTCGCCTGTCCTTCAGACAGCAGAGGTATCAAATATATTTGACAGCTGTCCAGTGAAAGCTAAATTTTAACTATAGTTCTTTTCACAGATGAAGTATAAGTGAACCAAAAAAATATATGAACAGTGTCCAACAAATATAGGGACAATGACGGGCCAAAAATCATCAAATTTCAGGAAATAAATTTTAAAAAATGAACATATAAATTAAAATGTGAAAAGTCAAAGTGAATCTATCAAGTTGGTCATAACTATGGCAGAAACCTACAGGGTCACATTAACCAGGTTTCCAAGGCTGGTTGTCTAGAACACAGGCAAAGCAAACAGCTTATAGGAGTAAGGGGAAAAAAATAATTTCCCACATATAAACTGAATTCAAAGAACTGGAATTTCCATGAATCTCTGGACTGCAATAGTTCACAAAATTACACTTGTAATCCACTTAAGTGTCTTAAGGCAGGTAAAAATAAAGTTGTGAGGTTTTTTCTTCAGTTTGGGTGCCCAAACACCCATGTGATAACAAGGACCTGTTATCTAGGGTTGGGGTCCTAACAGCATATATTGGATTCAGATATGACACTCAGCTGATTGAAAGGCTCCACTGATCTAACAGGCACATGTTTTCCATTATCCTTTCTTTGCTTTGTAGCTTTCAGCTTTGTAGGTTTTGTTTTTCCTACCTAATTGTATTCCTGGAGTTTAAGGAGGTAGCCAGTGTGCTGCTTGCAAACAATGCTTCTTACTCTGGGCTAGATGACTAACTTTTAGCTTGCTAATGCAACTAAAAATTTGTTGAAGATTAAAAACTCATTAGCCAGTCACATTATATCCCAATTAATAGGTTTTCTTCTGATAGCAAGATAACTGACTAAAGCCCTGCAATATGCCCTAGGAAGCCTATCTATTTGGTGTCTAATTTGCTTCCTCCTCTCTCTAGCAGGAATCCCAGAGTAGTTGGAGGAGCAGAAGGTGGAAGATGAAGTAGCTGATCTGTGGTGAAGGATTCCTGTTAGCTGTCCAGGCCATTAGAGCGCTTCAGAACAGGAATGAAGTTTTTGATTGCCTCACTGAAGATGAATCCTACGAGCAGTTTAATGCAGTTGTAAGCCTAGAGAACAGACTCATTTGAAAGTAGTTAAACAGTAAGTAAAGCCACAACAATTTTGTTTACCTAGAACAGTTCCTCTCTGCAGGAGTCACAGTGGGATGTGGAAGAAAAGGCCCTGCATGTGAAGAGCTATTTGCATCAGGAAGTTCCAGTAAGTAGCTGCTACATGGCAAGAAGGATTTGCATCAAAAAACTTCGGAAGAAGGAAAAATCTTTAGACATGGGTTTCCTCTTTAGGTTAGTAGTTCTGGTAAAATAGAAAATGAGTATGCTGTAATATCTTACTGAATCTGTTATCTGTCAGCTCTGCTTGCAGCAGACCAGGGGCTGGCCCCTGGGGAATGTAGTTAGTCTGCAAGAAAGACTGAAGCCTTGGTTCATAAATGTTTCCTGTTCTACAGCATTTAGACCCTAGGTCTTGTAAGCAAAGGGAGTAAGCACCCAAGGGGAGCTGTTGTCAAGTTAAATCCCAAATGCTATATTTTTCCCCTACTAAGCCACACACACTGCTTAGCAGTCATTCCAGGAGTGTTGCCAATATATCCTCCAGACTCTCAGCTTGAGCTCCAGAGATGACAGCTGCAGATTCTTGTCTCTGATACACAGGAAAACAGGGAAAGCTTTTCTCTCTTTCCCCAGGTATTATTTTGTGCCCCTCTCTTAATGATCACACTGATGCTTGAAGGCTGAAGGTGGTTTTTTTATTAAGTACTCAGTTAAACAGGTTAAGCCCTATCTCTGTAGCTTGCAAGTCCAAAATTTAATCAGTAGATGAATCCTTATACTTAGTAAATGGATCTAGATTAGGAAAACCTTGTGCAAGTTCAGTCCCTGGGTACACATTATTATTTTTCTTAATTAGGCCTCACCAGATCACTAAGCTTTCTAATTTTACATAAATTGTATCATCTAAGTTATTAGTCTATTAATGTTACAATGAAGGGCTTTTTCTTTTTAGAAAGAAAAGTGATCATTAAGAAATTGTACAGTTGGTTGGAGAGAGTGGAAAATGAAGTTTCTTTTCTGCTAAACTGACTGAGTTCATGCCACATAGGAAGTCCCACTTCCAGTGCACACCACTGCCATGATCCAAGTTCATGCTGAAATGAGAACAAGGTGTACATAGAGCCCCACGGGCCTTAGGTGGAAACTGGAGCATAGGCAGGAGGAGATAGTGGTGCTTCCAATAGTCCCCTTCATCTAGGCAATGAGGAATCAGGACAGCACGGTGCATATGAAATATGTACATCCTGGTATGAGGTCTCCAGAAAATGCAGAAAGAGTCCTTGGAAAGTTGAACAGCAAATACTTAAAGGAAAAATGAAAGTAAGAGCATAACTATTTTGCTAGCTCTTCTGTGGCTTACATCTAGTCTCCCCTAGATACTAAGCCTCACCTTAGTACCCTTTTCCAGCTGGCTGTGAAACTCTTTTCACATGAAATATTCCAAAAGTTGCCCAGCCAGGCTGGGGGATGCTGTTCTTCCCTTTCCAGTGTGCTAAAGCCAAAGCAATAGTCTAGTCTCAAAATGGCAGTACATTTGCTCAAAACTATTCACCAATGCAATAGTTCCAGCAAGGATAACAGCATATTTATACATACAGTTTCACCATTATCCCATTTTAGAGACCAGGAGATAGAACAAAGAGAGTTTGAATGACTTTCCAAAGTCCCCTGGTAGAACCAGTGGCAGGTAGAACCTGTGCCTCTGACTGCTAATAAATAGAACATCAGAGATATGTATCCTCAGGCTACAAACTACTGTTTGCTCTTTCAGGGCATCAACATCTTTGTTTTAATATTTCTGCCATGGATATATATCAAATGACCATAAATACCCCGAGAAAAATCAATTCATTATATGTAAAAATACTGAGCTGTGAAGTATGGCCACTGGGAATCTAGCACACAAACTTCGCAGTTACTCTGTGGGGACAGTAATCTGTAGCAGAAGAGTGGAGTAAACAGGTGGGGGGAAATGACCTCTTAAATCAGAGAGTTTCAATATTGAAAAGCATATTGGTTAGTTTCAAGGGTCTGATCCAGCTTAGTTGAAGGAAATAGGTTTGGAGTTTTTTCGGTGATCAATCCATATTGAATCCCTTGTGCAGTAAGCAGCCATAGAAAGGTTTTGTGGAATTAGTGTTATAAATCACACATTCAATCCCTTTGTGAGTGTTGAAAGCATCGTCATTCTTCTAATCACTATATCCTATCTTTGATCCA